TCTCCCTTTTTGGAGACCCAGGATTCAATGTGGGCTCTGCCCAGAGGTCAGAGATCCAGTTAAAAGATAGGTAGTCCCTATCTAAATAAAACTGGTCTCCTTATACAATCGTCTGATAGATTTCTATGACTTTATGTTTGATTTGGCATTCGTCCTTAATCTCCCTTTAGCACCACCAGACTTTTTCTCTCTGTACCTTATGATGTAAATTTTGCTATTTGATTTTCACCTGAGTGTTTTCCTTTAATATATAAATTTAAGGCTATTTTGCTGACAACTGCTCAGGATTGTGAAACAGGTTAAAAAAAGTTTTTTTATAAATCTATAAGATATAGATCTATAAGACTGTATTTTTTATAAATCAATAATATTCTATTGGCATGCCTAAAGTGTCTGTGTATTTATGTGTTGTGTACACAGTGTTTTACTACTGAAAATATATAAAAAAGCTCTAATTGGCTTAAGAAAACAAAAGCACTGGAATCAAATACTTTATCAGGGAAAAAGAAAAGATTAGTCAAATGCTTTTTCCAGTTTAACTTAACTAAAATCTTTAATAAATAAGCTAAAATTATTATTTATTGGTAAAGTAATATTATAAATGTCTTAAGAATTGCCAGTGTACATTTTTGTTGGCATTTATTAATCAAGCAACTTCATACTTATCCCTGCCAGATACTATAAAGTGTCAAAATTTGGCATAGAGGTTACAAAACTATAAACCCAGCTCAGAATAGAATGATCTTTGCTTGAGTAATCTTTAATAAGTAAGACATTGATATTTGTTTAATAAAAATAGCTTCATCTTAAATTTAGTAAGATTACCATAACTTCCAATCTTATGGCTTTAGGTGGCCTAATCCATGGGCAGTAAGATTTGTTATCATCCTTGTTTCAAGCTAAACTATAAACTAAGTTCCTCCCAAAGGTAGTTTGGCCTATGCCAAGGAATGAGAAAGACAGCTTGGAAGTTAAAAGCAAGATAGAGTCAGTTAGGTCAAATCTTTTTCACTGTCTCATTTACAATTTTGCAATGGCAATTCCATAACTTTAAATGATGACTATTACAGTTTTCATAAACAATCTAGGTAAAAACTTAAAATAAAATAATTAGGTAAATATAATGGGAAAAATACTTGTAGACAAATTCATAATTTAGAATCTTAAATTATAAATATTTTATTATTTGGGTATTTTCCAATAAAAATATATTTGTAGGAAAACATTCTTTCTTAAAAAGAGTATGTCCTTTTAAAAAAGGTGAACTATTTTTTTTTCTAATTCAAAGCTTAAAGATCATATATAAAACAAGGTAAAAGGAACCAGGAAATAAAAGAGATGTAAAGAAAGTTATAAAAATAAAGAGGGTTTTGTTTGTTTGTTTGTTTTTGGGAGGAACTTCAAGAGAAATAATTTCATATAAGAACAAGAATCTTGTATGGTAAATTTAGTCCTAGAGTAAAATGACTGGTTGTTTAAGAAAGAGGGATGTGGCCGGGCGCGGTGGCTCAAGCCTGTAATCCCAGCACTTTGGGAGGCCGAGGCGGGTGGATCACGAGGTCAAGAGATCGAGACCATCCTGGTCAACATGGTGAAACCCCGTCTCTACTAAAAATTCAAAAAATCAGCTGGGCATGGTGGTGCGTGCCTGTAATCCCAGCTACTCAGGAGGCTGAGGCAGGAGAATTGCCTGAACCCAGGAGGCGGAGGTTGCGGTGAGCCGAGATTGCGCCATTGCACTCCAGCCTGGGTAACAAGAGCGAAACTCTGTCTCAAAAAAAAAAAAAAAAGAAAAGAAAAAAAGAAAGAGGGATGTTCAGGACAAACCAGAAAGTCAAAGCATGTGATGAACAGTCTGTGTAAATCACAATAAGAGGATTTATTTTTTTTTAAAAGCCAAAAACTTTTATATGATCACGTTGTCACATCATTACTAAGTTTTGGTTTGCTTAGGAAAAAAATTGAGATTTGAAAATTTTTTTAAATTAAGATTATTACATCCATGTATCTTTCTGTATGCACTTTTAAAGTACTTGTGACATTGAGTTACAGGGCTTTGACTCCTGGGACTAAAAAAGACATCAAGTCCTGCTAAATTTTAAATGCTGACAGTAATTGAAGACCTATCTTCAGGCCCAGTAGAAGATGCAATCAAAATAAACTGCATTCCTGAAACACAGGACCAAAAGTTAAAGCTATTCAACTCCTGAAGGCCCAGGGACTATCACGGAAGAGGTGGACAAGTAAGATTGTGTGGGCTGATTTTGAGAGATAAAATATGTTCAGTTTCTCTAGAAATTAATCATTAATGTCAAAGGCACACTGATGCATACCAGCATATGGGCCCCTATGTCAGATTAACAAGGTTTTTTTGAAGCATTAACCAACTCCTTAATACAGGCCACTATGCCAGCTGGTTTCTGTATTTTACTGATAAAAACATACTGATGAACATACATGGAGCTAAATTTTTTCATATATTCTAAGTGTTTCCCTAGGACAGATCCTGAGAAGTATAATTGTTCTTTCAAATAGCATATTTTTAAGGCTTAAAAAAAATACATAATGCCAAACTATCTTACAGAAAGGCTATTAAACACTCATCACAGGCCAGGCACAGTGGCTCACGCCTGTAATCCTATCACTTTAGGAGGTGGAGACAGGTAGATCACTTGAGCTCAGGAGTTCAAGACCAGCTGGCCAACATGGTAAAACCCCATCTCTACAAAACATGCAAAAATATTAGCCAAGAGTGGTGGGATATGCCTGTAGTCCCACCTACTTGAGGGGCTGAAGCAGAAGGATTGCTTGAACTGGGAGATTAAGGCTTGCAGTAACCTGAGATCACATCACTGCACTCCAGCCTGGGTGACAAAATAAGATTCCGTCTCAAAAATGAACACAAAAAACAAAAAAGCACTCATGATCAGGATGTGAAATAAGTTGGGTATTACCATTGCTTTCTTAGTAGCTTTAAAAAATATTTTTTTGGTTTTCTTATAAACTGTTAATTATGTTAATACAATAAGGCTGAATATTTAAATGCACTTTGCCATTCGTATGTCTTTTTTTGGTGTGTGATTGTCTCTTCATGTCCTTTGTGCATTTTTATATAGGAACAGATCATCTGTTTCTTATTATTATGTAATAACTTAATTTTATTGCAAGTGTTTACCTCCCAGAGTTTTACTTCAATGCATCTAAATTGTGTGGGTGCCTTTTGAATCTTTTACTATAAACATTATAAACCATGAATCCAGATTTAGGAAATAAAAATAAACAACAAATAATTGTTTAATAATTATGGCCCAAATAAACATGGGACATACCTATACTAAAAATGTGTTTGCTATTTAACTGAAATTTATTGTTTTGTTTTGTTTTGAGACAGCGTCTTGCTCTGTTGCCCAGGCTGAAGTGCAGTAGTGCAATACTGGTTCACTACAACCTCTGCCTCCCAGGTTCAACCAATTCTCCTGCCTCACCCTCCTAAGTAGCTCGGATTACATGCATGTGCCACCATGCCTGGATAATTTTTAGTAGAGATAGGGTTTCACCATGTTAGCCAGGTTTGTCTTGAACTCCTGACCTCACGTGATCCACCCATCTCAGCTTCTCAGAGTGCTGAGATTACAGGCATGAGCCACTATGCCCGGCCTTTTCTGAAATTTAAATGTAACTGATAATGCTATATTCTAACAACCCCAGCTAGAGGCCACAACTATAGTGGAGTGTGTCTGAATTGGGTATTAGGTTTTAAAGTCAGCACATTTGGCAAAAATTGTGAAAGCCAACAGTTCCCTTAAAAGTTCTTTAAATGGCTTTCAATATGCGGTATGTTGAAGTTTCACCTTCCATTCTATATGGTAATTCTCATGCACAACAAAGTTAAGAACCTCTCGGGGAATAAAAGGTCATTCAAACCATCTCATTCTCATGACCACAGGTATGGAGAGGAAAAACATGGGGAAGTCAACATGTTCCTGCTCGCTTGCAGGGTTTATTACGTTTGATATCAGGTGTCTAAAATGTTTAAACAAGTATTTATTGGTAGTTGTGCTGGTTATCCAAGATACGATAGTGAAGTTCCTCTCACATAGGCATAGTGTTCTCAAGTCCGCTCTCAAGAAAAGCATGACCACAGTGAGACTCTGCCGAGTTATTTTTATACATTTTTCTTCGATCCATGCTCCCCAAATCCCTCAGTCTAAATTTTATTTTCAACAAACATCCTACCCTCAAATTACTCCTAGATATTTTTCTTTTGGTAGAACTTGTGTATTTTGGATCATTCAGTAGCTACTTGAGAGCAGTAGTGGTGAAGGCCTCATATCTCTCCTGGTGCAATAGTATCCTGTTCTGGGTCTGTTGTTTCTTTTTATGGAAGCTTTTCCAAAAAGTTTGCCCAACATTTTATTTCAGTGAAATATACCTAGTGATACTTAGAAGTCTCAAAGCAATCATTAACCTGGAGTCCAAAACAAAATGTACAGGATGATGTATTTATTTCTCTTGAGCACTGTTCATAAATGACTTTTAAATCTTATTTCTTTCTAGAACATTCAAAACATTCCCATGAAACAAAAAAATTGTAATCCTAGCCAAAGCTCATTTTAATAGGATTTGGACTGTAAAAAAGACACTGTCAGATTGTCTACATTTTATTCAATATATCTATAGCTACAGTTACATATATAGTCAATACATTTATATTAATACATGCATAAAAATGTTCACTTAGACTTTCATCTTACATGTTAGATATATTGCTTTTGCTGGTTAATGTTATCTAAGCACACTGACCTTATATGTCTGGTATAAAAGAATCACCTGGCTTTGTTCATGTTGCTGTGGTCTCTGGGAAATCTTGTTCACTTTTGAACAGATTGACAGGACAAGGAGCAATTCAAACATTCACAAATAAATATAGATAAATACATATTCCTATATGTGTACTGTATACATATATGCATATAAAATGTGCAACATATATATACATATATATTTTAAGTTTTTATCATAAATTCAAATGCACAAAAATAGAGGGAATGGTATAATCAACTTCCATGTACCCGATACTCAATTTCAGTGATTATCAACTTTTTCACAATAATTATATCTCTTTTAGTAAACTCTTTTACAGTGTAACATACATACAGAAAAATATACAGATCATAAATGTGCAGCTTAATGAATTATTACAAAGTGACCACACCCAGATAACCCCCACCCAGATCAAGACATAAACTTCACCAGCAATGCAGAAGCCCCAGCCTCTCCTACTCACGACATCCTTACGGCTCCCACAAGGAAACTACTATCTTGACTTCCAACATTCCAGATTCATTTTGCCTGTGTTTGAACTTTATAGAAATGGAATCATACAAGTGTTCTTGTTGTTTAACTTCTTTTGCTTAACATCATATTTACGAGATGGATACATGTTGTTGTGCTTAATAGTAATTTTATGGAACTACACTACAAATTCTTTATCCATTTTACGATAGATGGGCATTTGAGTTCTGTTTTGGTCAACATATATTTTAGTGAATATATGTAGGCATTATAGCTAGGAGTGGAATTTCTGGGTTATGGAATATGTGTCCCAAACAATTTTTCACAAACTTAAACTATTAGCAGCAGCGTATAAGCATTCTAGTTGTTCCACATCCTTGTCAACACTGGAATTGTCAGTCTTTCAAATTTTAACTATTTTAATGCTTGTAATTGCTGCCTCTCATTGAGGTTTCAATTTGTAGTTTCTTGATAAATAATGAGATTGAACATGTTTTCATTTTTGTTGACCATTGGCTATCTACAGAAGGAGAATATTTGCTGGATGGATTCAAGTAGCTGTTCTCCTCCGGATTATCATTGTTGTTTTAACAACTTCATTGAGCTATAATTTACATACCATGCAATTCACTCATTTTAAGTGTCCAATGATTTTTAGTAAATTTATCAAGCTGTGTGATCATCACAATCATACAGTTTTTAGGACATTTCTATCACCCCTCAGTAAGACCCCTCATGCCCTTTAACATTTAACCCCCCTTTCCACAGTCACCTTCAGGAAACCATTCATCTCTTTTCTCACTCTATACATTTGCCTTTTCTGACTCTTCTAAACTTTCTTTTTCATAAATTAATAAATTAGTAATGTTATTTATCCATCAGTTTCTGTCTGTGGCTAATATAAATTCACCCTTGAAAGATAGGTCTGTTTTTAGTGTCCTAACAAGTAAGCTGTCTCCAGCTCTTGAATTCTTCTGGATTCTCCAGCCTCAATGCTCTTCAGCTAAAGACTACCGGGAACACACTTGTAGTTGGGTTTATTTCCTTGTTGCAGCAAGCGAGAATGCACACCATGAGGAATCATGGGACATCTCAGTAAGAGGTGGTTGGAAAGAAATTTGTAAGAATTTAGCTTGTGTTTGGTGGTTTGGGGAGTGTTTTAAAGAAGTGAAGCTTTGCTCTGGATTGAATGCTGTCAGGAAGCAGGGGGTAATTCTTAAAATTGGATATCTAATAACTCTTATCTAGAAGGAGGGCGGACTAGTCTCAGGCTTATATTGTAATTGGTAAAGAAGCAGTAGTCACTATTCTTAGGCAAGATAGGGGATGTTTGGTCATTTTGTGGTTTGGACCATGTTCGGGTTTTGGTGGGTTGTTGAGACATGATTACAGAGGGTTACAGTGTTTTGTCTTGCTAAATCAGCACAGCCTTGTCTAATGTTCATATTCTGTGAAATTGCTTATATTTGACAGGAGAATGCCAAGTCCTATCTGTAAGAACCAGGCCAACTCCTCATGTCAGTGGCTGCTTTTCTTTCTCACCAAGATAATGGCATCCAGTGGGTACCTTGTTTAGAGAGCCTCCAGCCACTCACTCCTCTGTACTATATAATTTTGCCCTTTTTTTGACACTTCCACAGAAATACTAGATTACTGTGTAAATTCTAACATTCAACCTGAAATTATGACATTTTTTCTAGATTTATAAATAGTACGCATTTCATTTTATAAGTGAAGCATGAACAACATTAGCACTTGGTTTGCTTTCTTTCATGACTCTAGGAATCTTTTCAATGAAGCAATATTTGCAGTTCATATAGCTCACAAAGTGTTTCTATGGAGAATGTAAGAACTCTTATCAAAGTGTTTAAAGATGATTAAGTTAAAAATACATAAGAGACAAGAAAAAGTTAAGCAGAAAGTTGGTTTGTGGGCATAAATTTGGAGGAAGTAGAGTTAGTTTTATGATTAGAATATATCCATCTACATCACAGAGCTACACTCTTGTCTTTCCTGAGTGATACTTTGGTATTGGCCTCTGTGGCATTCATTTTTGCATGTTCTGCTTGCCAAAATAATCCCCCTTCTGGTTGCAACTTCTATGTTAGCTTATAAATAGCTTTTATATTAGCTAAGTTATGTTCTGAGAACCACTATTTATCTTAAAGTTTAACATTTTTTATACGTCGGCTTCAATCTACCACTAGTTGCATTTATTTTATTTATTTTGTTTTTGAGATGGAGTCTTGCTCTGATGCCCACGCTGGAGTACAGTGGGATGATCTTGGCTCACTGCAACCTCTGCCTCCTGGGTTCAAACAATCCTCTGGTCTCAGCTTCCTGAGTAGCTGGGATTACACATGTGCACCACCATGCCCAGCTAATTTTTGTATTTTTAGTAGAGACAGGGTTTCTCCATGTTGGCCAGGCTGATCTCGAACTCCTGACCTCAGGTGATCCACCCACCTCGGCCTCCCAAAGTGCTAGGATTATAGGTGTGAGCCACTGTACCTAGCCACTAGTTGCATTTATAAGCCTATTGTTCAGGATAAGTTTTATTTCCAATCTGTAGTGTTTACACTAAGAGCGAAAGAGGTGTAGGAGAGAAAAAACTTTTCCTCCCACTCTCTTAATTATGTACTTGAGGCCTGTAAATTAAGTCGATAAAAGACATACAATTAGCAGGAGAAAAAGCAAACAAATTTTATTAATATTTTTACATCCATGGCAGCTTCACAGATAAGTGAAAACTGAAAGATGTGGTTAAATTTAGGAACTTATATACCGTTTTAACAAAGGGTAATAAATTGTAGAGAGGTGACTAGTCAAAGGAAAGGGACTTGGGCTCCTAAGGGCAGTAAATTATGGGAAGGTGACTATGAAATGTGTGATAGATAAGAATTGAGTAGTAAGGTTTGTTAGGCAGATTCATTTTGGTGCCATCTCAGGTATTCCTGGTAGAGGAGAAGGGGACACCTTTTTATAAATAAAACTGTATGTTGTATTTCCAAAGGGAAATTTATTCTCTGCTTTTAGGCCAGAAGGGGAAAAGGCAGAGAGCTTTTCCTGTGTCTACTGTTTCTCAATTGCCTTCAGCTCAAAATAATCTGTATGCCAAAGTGGCATATTTTGGGGTGGCATATTCTAATCCTCTCCAGGGGTGATCAGTAACTCATATTTTATCTATTGGGCTATCAGTTTTTATTCAAAAAATGAAAGACAATGAGGTGATCTTTTTCTTCTAGGAAAATCTTGAAAGGCCATTCATGTACAGGGATACAACTAGTGTTACCGGCAGAGGGTCTTGACTGTAAGTTGTCCAGGTTCTTGGCATTTTGAACAAATAATTGGACAAAACACATGGCAAAGCAAGGAAAGAATGAAGCAACAGAAGCAGAGATTTATTGAAAGTGAAAGTACACTCCACAGTGTGAGAGTGAGCAGAGCAGCAACTCAAGCACCCCAGATGCACAATCCTCCCAGGTCCGAATATCCCCTAGAAGTTTCCCATTGGCCACTTGGCGTTCACCTCATGTAAAGGAAGTGGTGGCCCACAATCAGTCTGATTGGTTTTGGAAAGCAACCAATCAGAGGCTGAAGTAAAGTTATAAAGGTCACACTCCTATGCAAACATCTGATTGGTTGCAGAAAGCAACTAATCAAAGGCTAAGATGAAGTTACAAAGTTGCACTTATATGCAAAGGAAGACTTGGCCTGCAATTAGTCTGACTGGTTGCAGACAGCAGAGGATCAGCGACAGAAGTGAAATTACAAAGTTACATTCTGATGCAAAGGTCTGATTGGTTGCAGAAACAATCAGAGGTACTTTCAGTTTCCCATCTGACACACAGAAAAGGTGAGGGTTTGCAAAGGGAGTAGCCTCTGGTCCTTTTGTTACTTAGGCATGGAAAATCGGTTTTCCTTTCAGTTTAGTGCTAGGAAGTCTGTGAGAAATGTCCTTAGGTTCCCTGCCTCCAGACCCTATTCTCCTGCCTCATCTCCCCACTGAGAGACGTGATCCCCATAAATCTTTATGGGAGACAGAGAGACTGATGGTCTTTTTTCTGTGCTGACTTGGGGCGTATCCCTACCTGTTGGAGATCATGGAACTCTCGCCCTACTCTGCCTAGTGGAGATGGGGTGGCTTCTTGATGGCCAGGGGTGGTGTCTTCACCTGGAACTGGCTGGAAACCTTGTCACATGATCGTCTGAAGCTTGACAGTCTCTAATGCAAGGGGAAATGAATTTGGTTAAAAGATATAATGGGAACTTTGGAGGTGGATACCTATGCCATCAGGAATGTTTGTTATAGAAATGTATTAAAACATTTTGCATAATTACTACAAAGGAAGTGATTCCATCCATTTGGAAGAAGTCAATTAAACTGCAAAAGAAAAAAAAAAATTGTAAGTGGTTACTGTTACTCTAGCCTATAGTAACTATGCAACAAAGACACCAAGGAAAATTGGTAGGCGTTTACTTATCTTTTGGCTGTCTTCTAAACAGGTACTTCAGGTCTTCCACAGGTTCACAAGTCTAGTGACAGATGGGAACTTGAGGTTCCTGCTCCAGGTCTTCTGGTATTGCTGTCTTAATCCTTGAAAGATGTATCTAGCTGTCTAATCCTAGTACTTTGACTGCAGAAGGCATGGCCAGTACCACTGAAAACAGTCCCTTCTATTTTGGTTGTAATTGCTGAGCTGGTGATCGCTCCTTCCACATTTTAACAAGTACCTTATCTCCTGGCCTGATTTTAGGTTGCTAGTTGTTCCCGGTGTGGGAAGCCTTTGAATTCCATTTTTGTAAAGCCTGCTGAAATTGTCCTAGGTTGGTTAGGTATTTTACTAAATCAGCCCTTTCTGGATCAGTAATTAAATCATTAGTCAAGAATAATAAGATTCATATGGGCTTATATTAATTTTTGCTCTAAGGGTATTATGTATCCTTAAGAGGGTTATGGGCAGTAAGCTGACCCAAATTTCTGATGTTTCCTTACATAGCTTAGCAACACTGGTTTTAGAGTTTGGTTAGCCCTTTCTCCCTTCCCAGAGGATTGAGGGCTCCATGTTACATGTAAATAATACTTGATTCCAAAAGCCTTAGCAAACCCTTGAGTTATTTGGGAGATAAAGGACAGGCCATTATCACTTTGGAGGTTCTGAGGTAACCCAAACCCAGGGATTATTTCTTTTAATAGAAACTTTATAACCTCATTAACCTTCTCTATTGTGGTAGGGTAAGCTTCAACCCAACCAGTAAAGCTATCTATTAGTACTAAAAAAAACACATATCCTCTGCAAGCTGGCATATGAAGTCTAACTGCCAATCTTGCCCTGGATAACTTCCTCTCCTCTGCACTGGTTCTGTTAGAGGAGGCATGTTGTTTCCTGGGTTGTTAAGTGCACACAGTGAGCAGTCTTGGCAGACCTGCTTAGCCACTGAAGCCATTAGACCCAGTAAAGATCTGGTTTAACATGGCCAGAGTTGCATCCCTCCCCACATGGAAAGACGCATGCATGGCTTTTATACTTTTCCACTGGGCTGTCTGAGGGAGATATATTTTTGACCCCATCTACTACCAGGTTCCTTTCTTTTTTCTTTTTGTCCCCCTTATTCCTTTATTAACTATTCTTCCTATAGTGTGTACTCAGGTTCTACTGGGGAATCATAGAAACGCAGCAGTGCTAGGATCTGTTGGGATTGCACTCTGTGGGCTGTGGCTTTGGCTTCTCTGTCAGCCTTTCTGTTCCCTTGTGCTGTAGGGGTTAAGTCCCTTTGATGCCCCACAATGAACTGTAGCATGGCCTTTGGCAAGTGTATTGCTTCCAATAGCTGAAGAATTTCAAGCCCATCCTTTATAGGGGACTGTTTGCTAGTTAGTAATCCCCTTTCTTTCCAGATTGTAGCGTGAGCATGAACTACAAGAAATGCATATTTAGAATCTGTATAGATGTTGTTTTTTTCCTTGTCCCAACATTAATACTCAAGAGCAATGATTTCAGCCTTTTGTGCTGATGTGCCAAGGAGCAGTGGCTGGGTTTCGATAATTGTGTTGTGATTTACTACTGCATATCCAGCTCAGTGCTGTGTCAAACCCCACTTGACACAAAACTACTGCCATAGCCTGGTATTTGGCTAATCTTTCCCCTCTCATCCAGATATATCCCTTTATCTCTAAGACTGACTTAACCTAGCGAGGGGGTTAGAACTTCCAGTGGTTGGCTCAGGGCAATTTTACTGGCTTCCTCCACTAACATAGCAGTGGCTGCTATTGCCCATAGGCAACTTGGCCACCCCAAGACCACTCCATCCAACTTCTTTGAAAAGTAGTTGGTTGGCCTGGGTTCTGATCCTAATTTCTGTGGAATACACCCACAGCTATTCCCTTCTTCTCCGCTACATACAAAGAGAAGGGCTCAGTTACATCTGGGATGCCAAGAACAGGAGCCTGGGTGAGAGCCTGTTTTAACTTGGCAAAGGCTTCTCTCATTTCTGGGGTTCATTCCATTAGCTCATTTTCAGGCCCCTTTGTTGCTTCATACAGGGCCTTTGCTATGAGTATGAAATTTGGTACCCATATTCTGCAAAGCCCCACCATTCCCGAAAAAGAACAAAGCTACTACTTGGTGTATGTGTTTTGGGGAGGGGGGTGGCAGGGGGCAAACCACATGTGGCTTGCACTCGTTCTGGGGATATTTGTCAGGCTCTGGGTGTTAAGACATACCCTAAGTATTGCATCCATTGAAGGGTAATCTGTACCTTCTTGTTGGACACTTTGTATCCCCTATCTGACCAGAAATTCAAAGTTTTTATAGTAGTTTGGTCAGAAACCTCCTGGGTTGGGCTACACACAAGAAGGTCATCCACATACTAGAGTATACTCCCGTTTTTCAATTTCAGATCCCTCAGGTCCCTCTCTAAGGCTTGGGCAAAGAAGTGGCGGCTATCCTCAACGCCCTGAGGGAGCACTGTCCAAGTATATTATTGTTTTCCCCTGGTATTAGGATCTTCCCATTCGAAGGCAAAGAGGTATTGGGACTCTGGGGCCAGAGGAATGGAGAAGAAAGCATCTTTTAGGTCTAGGACTGAACCATTTTGCATCCCCTGGTACCTGAGCCATAAGGGCCTATGGATCTGCCACCAGTGGGTAGATGGGAGCAATAGCCTCATTAATTATTCTGAGGTCATATACTAACTGGTATTTCCCCAAAGGCTTTACAGTGGGTAAGATGGGGGTATTGCAAGGAGAATTACAGGGTTTTAGGAGACAATATAATAAGTAACACCTCAACGATAGGTCCTAGGCCTTTTCTTGCTTCCTGTTTTTGATTGGGAAAGTAGCTGAGGTCTTCAAACTGTATTTTGACTGGCCCTGCTGTTTTAGCCTTCCCTAGTTTTCCAGTATACCAATGCCAATGGGTTAAGCTGTTTATTAATGTGGTCTGGAACATTGTATTTTTGAACTATCAGCATTTTCACTGGGTGATGCTTAAATTGTAGTAGTGCCCCTATTTTAACCATAATATCTCTTCCCAACAAGGGGATTGGGCAGCTTGGTACTACTAGGAATTCCTGTTGGAAGAGCTGTTTCTCCAATTGACAAATCAAAGGAGGAGTAAATAAACTTGTTTGTCAACCCTATCAAAAAGTGGGCAAAGGATACGAACAGACACTTCTCAAAAGAACATATTTATGTAGCCAACTAACATATGAAAAAAAGCTCATCATCACTGGTCGTTAGAGAAATGCAAATCAAAACCACAATGAGATACCATCTCGTGAGTTAGAATAGTGATCATTGGAAAGTCAGGAAACAACAGGCTGGCAAGGCTGTGGAGAAATAGGAACGCTTTTATGCTGTTGGTGGGAGTGTAAATTAGTTTAGTCATGTGGAAGACAGTGTGGTGATTCCTCAAGGATCTAGAACCAGAAATACCATTTGATCCAGCAGCCCCATTACTGGATATATAACCAAAGGATTATAAATCATTCTACTACAAAGACACATGTATATGTATGTTTATTGCAGCACTATTTATAATAGCAAAGACTTGGATCCAACCCAAATGCCCATTAGTGGTAGACTAGATAAAGAAAATGTGGCACATATACATGGAATACTATGCAGCCATAAAAAAGAATTTCATGTCCTTTGCAGGGACATGGATGAAGCTGGAAACCATCATTCTCAGCAAACTGACACAGGAACAGAAAACCACACACTGCATGTTCTCACTCATAAGTGGGAGTTGAACAATGAGAACACATTGACACAGGGAGAGGAACATCACACACCAAGGCCTGTTGCGGGGTGGGGAGCAAGGGGAGGAAGAGCCTTAGGACAAATACCTAATGCATGTGGGGCTTAAAACCTAGATCATGGGTTGATAGGTGCAGCAAACCACCATGGCACGTGTATACTTATATAACAAACCTGCACAAACTTGAAGTAACATTTAAAAAAACCCAAAAAACAATGAACTTGTTTGTGGCTTCCCTTCCATTCTCATAACACTTATGGGCTGGGAGGAAAGCTTTCCTGTGTAAGCAGTAAGGACACAGTAACTCCCCCCTCATCAAAAAGAAACTAAATTTGGGTATCCATGACGTCTAGAGTTAGCTGGAGCTCCTCAGTAGTAATTACAATGTTCCTGGACCAGGGCAGTGAGGAAGACCCTGGGCCCCTTGGGTCTTCATCTAATTCCTCCTTTCGCACTGCTAGAGTTTTGACTGACCCTCTTGCGGGGAGCACGGACAGTCAATTCTCCAGTGCCAGGGCCACAACTGGTGCCTTTGCATTGACAGCAGGGGCCAGGGTTGGGGGGGCTTAATATTTTCCTTTCCCTAATGCCCACTTTTCTTGCATTTGAAGCAAGAACCTTTGCTGGCATTATCTTTATGGCCCTTCGGGTTTCCTTTAGACATTTTTTTGGACATTCAGGGCTTCGCCAATGATGGCTGCCATAATTTTGGCTAGCTATTTATTCTGTTCCCTTTTTCCTTCCTTCAGGTCATGATTGTTATACACCATAATGGTGATATCAAGAAGCTGATTTTGATTAGTTTGTGGCCCATCTGTAGCTTTTGGAGCTTACATCTAAGGGAGTGTAACAGGTTGCTAGAATGAATTGAACATCCCTGCATGAGAAAGCAAAGGGTCAGGTCAAAGTCTGGAACCCATCTGCAAATTTCCTAGGATGCTCGGAATAGCTTCCTAGCTTTTCCTTACATTGTATGTGAGTTACAGAGAAAGGAGCCTGTAAGAGGACTGGCCCCTTGGCTCCTGCTACTTTCCTAGGAGGTAGCAGGGCTGGAAAGAGAATTGAATATGGTGTTCCCCTCCAAGTGTGAGGGGGATTTAGTAGGGTCCCTGGTGTTTGCTCCTGGGTTTTAGCCTCAGGAGCTCTTGGCAAGGGACTCTATGGGGGCAGTTCCTGTTCACCCTGAGAGACAGCTGGCCCTTGTAAAAGGGGTCATCTATAATATCTAGTTCTGCCTTAGTACTTTCCTTTGCGGGGGGGGGCGGGGAGGGAGGTGGGTTCTGGAAGTTTTGCAGATTGTTAGGGGTTTTGCTATTGGAGCATGAAAACCTGTACATATGGGATTTCTGACTATTTTTCCTGCATCCTGCAAAGTACGTCTAATTGCAGGATGGTGTCGTAGTTAAGGCTACCATTGTCTGACCATTGTTGGGGTTTGGGGAGCTCATAATGGGGCCAATGGTATCACAGAAAAAAATTACACATTTTCCCTTTAGATTTTCAGGGTCAAATTGATTTCAATGGTGGAGGATGTAGCCAAGCAGGGCATCTGGTGGAATGGGTGTAGCATTGCTCATAGTGGAATCAGGTGGAATAGAGAGTTGCCCATGGCGGTCCGGAAAAGAGAAGAGGACTTTGAAAAGCGGAGAGTCCATTAGGTGACCCAAATTTTACTCAGGACATCCCCCTGAAAAAACTCTGGATCCAGAATGGGGTCCCCAGGGTCATCCCCACTTTAGGACCCTGATTTGGTCTGTCAGATGTCTCTGACCTTAGATGGGTGCTGGCACTGCTTTGGAATGGTTCCCTCCACCACTGGGGACTGTCTATGAACTTTCCTTAAGGCTTTTCTATCCCACTTAAAGCAACCCTTTAGCCCTTTAAATGTTACCCTTTAAATTTAGGCAATAATACATTCCCTTTCATGAATTTCCCCCACACACACCCTGTGCCCCACACAGACCACCTACAACATGCCCAGACCCTCTGACTTGTATAACCTTTTTTTGCATAGCTAGTCTGTCCTTTACCCAGGTGAGTAGGTAAAGGTAAGCATTTAGCATAAGAAAAGAAGGCTTAAGTTGCCTGAAATGTGTGTGAGTTCGTCCAGGATGAGCTTCTGCTGCCAACTCCATCACATGTAGGGATCAGGGACTATAACTGGAAAGGATAGAAAATAGAATTTCCCTCTTCCAGGCAGGGCAGCCATCCCTGTTCACTCCTTGGCCTTCAGACAACACGAGAGAGTGGCCCCCACCAGTTCCCCTCAATCGCCAAGGAACCACTAGAAAACAGCAGCTGAAAGACTGAAAAAGAAAAAAAGGAAAATCAGAAGAAGGAGAAAAGGAATAGAACTTAGAAAAGCAAAAACAAGATCAGGCGCAGTGGCTCATGCCTGTAATCCCAGCACTTTGGGAGGCCAAGGCAGGTGGATCACGAGCTCAGGAGATCAAGACTATCCTGGTCAACATGATACCCGTCTCTACTAAAAATACCAACCCCCACAAAAAAAAAAAAAAAAAAAAAGGAAAAGGACTCAGCTTCCTCACCCGAACCCTGCGGTGCTGGTCAGGTGCTTTCACGTGGAAGACTTTCAGTTTCACCAGAGAGTGGCCCCAGCCAGAAAGTTGCAGTTGTCTCTGTGCATAGGCGCCGTTCACCAAGGGTCACGGGTTGGAAGGGAAAGATCCCCCTCTATATAGTAGAAAAGAAAAGAAGAAAGGAGAAAAATAAACCCCAAACTTTGGGCTTCCCTCCTACCTGGCTCACCAAAATATGTTACCAGTAGCGGGTCTTGACTGCAAGTTGTCTAGGTTCTTCTGAACAAAGAATTGGACAAAACGCACAGCAAATCAAGGAAAGAATGAAGCAAGGAAAGCAGAGATCTATTGAAAATCAAAGTACATTCCTCAGTGTAAGAGCTGGCCGAGTAGCAGCTCAAGGGCCCCAGATGCAGAATCTCCTCGGGTCCAAATAACCCCTAGAGGTTCCCATTGACCACCTACTTGGTGTTCACTCTATGTAAATGAAGTGGTGGCCTGCAATCAGAGGCTAAAGTGAAGTTACAAAGTTGCACTTCTATGCAAAGGAAGATTTGGCCCTGCAATCTTGGCCTTGTAATCAAGTGAAGTTACAAAGTTACACTCTATGGAAACATCAGATTAGTTGCAGAAAGCAATCAGTCAGAGGTATTTTCAGTTTTCCAGCTGCAAGGTGGGGATTTGCAAAGGGAGCAGCCTCTGGGCCTTTTGTTACTTAGGAGTGGAAAGTTAGGGTTTTCCTTTCCAAATGGCTCTAGGAAGTCAGTGTGAAACGCTTTAGGTTCCCTGCCTCCAGACCCTATTCTCCTGTATCACTAGTAGAGTTCAGTGTATACTTCCTGAAAATGGAAGCAGTTTTGCTAATAATTTTAACACAAAAGTAGGGTGATCAGATAAAGTATCCTTATGTCCCATGGAATAGTTGGAATGTACTTATACTAAAAAATTCATTTATCATGTGACATTAAAATTCACCTGGGCATACTGTACTTTTATTTGCTATATCCGACAATCTTATACAGAAGTCATCATGGGAAACTCAGAAAATTATTTTGGCAGAGAGGAGTAGAAGAAACAAATGACACTTTAAAAAAAAATTGTTGGGCCTTGTGCGGTGGCTCACGCCTGTAATCCAAGCACTTTGGGAGGCTGAGGCAGGCGGATCGCCTGAGGTCACAAGTTAGAGACCAGCATAGCCTGGCCAACATGGTGAAACCCCGCCTCTATTAAAAATTCAAAAATTAGCTGGGCGTGGTTGCGGGCGCCTGCAATCCCAGCCTCTCGGGAGGCTGAGGCAGGAGAATCGATTGAACCCGGGAGGTGGAGATTGCAGTGAGCCAAGATCGCACCACTACATTCCAGCCTAGGCAAGAGTGAGACTCTTGCCTCAAAAAAATAAATAAAAATAAAAATATTGTGGTAAAATACACGTAATAGAAAACTTACCACCTAACCTTTTTTAAGTATACACTTCTGTGACTTTAGTATATTTGCATTGTTGTGCAGTCATCACCATTCATCCCAACTTTTTCACCAACCCATATCTGCAACTCTATGCCCACTAAACAGCAAATCCCCATCTCTCCTTCCCTAGCCTCTCTACAACCACTGCTACTTTGTTTCTATGAATATGACAGCACACAGTATTTGGCGGTAAATCAGAGTTAGCAAATGCAATCTGAAGCAGAGGAAAGGAAAAAGTCATATCCCTCAAGTTTTACAGTCCCAATAAAAGTATTAGTGCTTTGAGAAAAGGAGCGTCACGGTCATGGGGAGAATAAAGAAAAAACTTTTTCCTTCCAGTTTGCAACTGGAACTGCCACTCTAGCAGGGCCTCCATTTTGTGGCCTGCGTGGAGGGCGGACGATCTCTCTCTCCGTCACTCCCCGGCATCGGGTA